TCTCTCTCTCTCGTTTCTACTGCACCCATTGCATTCTACGAGTTGTACAGGACGAACGTGGTGTGGTCCGATAAACGAAGCTAATTACGACAGCCAAATTAGCTTCGGCGTACGTCTTCCTGTGGTGTTTCCACAAATCCAACAGGATTCGATCGACGACAGGGGAGATTCAAGAATTAGCGTAAAAATAAAAAAAAAATAAAAAAAGTAAAACAAACAAATGTATTTATCGATTCGTAGTCGTAAGTTTTCAGTTCTCGCATTTCGATGGATAAAAGTGATATTCATTTATGTTCATATTTTCGTATAGGAATGATACAATGAATATCGTTTTTTTTTTTTGTAATCGTTGTTTAATTCCTTACCGATTTCGTTGCACTTTAATATGCAAATTTTCATTGAAAGTTTTTTCTTTCTCCACGGCTCGATCAAATTACTGATCTAATTGCATCATTTAGATCCTAAAGTATTAGGTTATAAATATTACAAATTTTTTTGGTTGGTTCCTTTCTTTTTTTTTTACCAGCCTAAATCGCATTCTTTTCTTTTTGTTTTTTGTATAATACAATTTCCAAAATTTCGTTAGTTTATATTTTAAAAGACGTATTTTTTGACCGAACGAACGAATATAGTTTCAATTAATATATATGAGTTTCAAAGGGAATTAAAGACATTTAATAAATTTGATGAACAATTTATTATGACCTTGTAACAATTTATTATACAACAAGGTCATAATAAATTGTTCATCAAATTTATTAAATGTCTTTAATTTCCCTTTGAAACTCATATATATTAATTGAAACTATATTCGTTCGTTCGGTCAAAAAATACGTCTTTTAAAATATAAACTAACGAAATTTTGGAAATTGTATTATACAAAAAACAAAAAGAAAAGAATGCGATTTAGGCTGGTAAAAAAAAAAGAAAGGAACCAACCAAAAAAATTTGTAATATTTATAACCTAATACTTTAGGATCTAAATGATGCAATTAGATCAGTAATTTGATCGAGCCGTGGAGAAAGAAAAAACTTTCAATGAAAATTTGCATATTAAAGTGCAACGAAATCGGTAAGGAATTAAACAACGATTACAAAAAAAAAAAACGATATTCATTGTATCATTCCTATACGAAAATATGAACATAAATGAATATCACTTTTATCCATCGAAATGCGAGAACTGAAAACTTACGACTACGAATCGATAAATACATTTGTTTGTTTTACTTTTTTTATTTTTTTTTTATTTTTACGCTAATTCTTGAATCTCCCCTGTCGTCGATCGAATCCTGTTGGATTTGTGGAAACACCACAGGAAGACGTACGCCGAAGCTAATTTGGCTGTCGTAATTAGCTTCGTTTATCGGACCACACCACGTTCGTCCTGTACAACTCGTAGAATGCAATGGGTGCAGTAGAAACGAGAGAGAGAGA